ATGATAGAGATGGAGTCCAAGAAGATGCAGAAGAAGAGGGATATATGGATCAAGCAGAGGCAGAAGATGCAGAAGAAGAAGAGCATGGGGATCAAGCAGAGGCAGGAGCTGTGGAAGAGGAGGAAAATAGAGAACAGACCGAAACAGACAAACCAGCTGCTAAGAGACTAAGAGCAGAATGCCAGTTCTGTGAGCAAAGCAGTGCAGAACTAACCCGTCTTTTGCAGGAAAATGGGGAGCTTGTCTGAGTTGAAGATGGATAAAGAGTTTTTCAAAGATAATACAGAGAAGGTTCGATATTATACAGGACTTCCATGTTTTGCAATTTTGTTGTCAATGTTTACTACTGTTAAGCCCTTCCTGCCAGTTGAAAAGAAGTTGTCACAATTTCAAATGGTTTTACTGACACTCATTTTTAAAGACCAAAGAGAGGGAGTGGTCATGGTGAAACATCCAATCATTTGGTATCTCTGAAAAGCCCTGAATGTGCTCTGTACAGGACGTCCAGACTTAAAACTGTTACATGTATTGTCTCAGAGAAATCGCTAAAACATAATGTCCTCTACAGAGGACAAAACACCATAGCTGGTAGTCAGGAGTTTAAATAATCACAGGTAGGTAAGCAAAATGATACACCCCTTTGTACGAACGACGGTGTTTTCACAACTCGGCGGTTTGTAGGCTTTCAAGTCATGGCCATTTGTGAACTGAACCTGGGCTTCCATAGATTTATAATTACGAAACTGAGCCTCGGTATAAACACTCACACCACAGACTAAATGTACAAAAATATCTGGAAATAGGAGGTAAATCGTCGGGGTATCGAGTACATTCTCTTGCAGCCACCTCATACGGATCCAGATTTCCGATCAATGCCATCTTTTCCAGGTACCGTTTTCTTGCGTCAGGTAGAAGTTTGTCTCTGTATAGTACATTTCGTTCTTTTAAACGACTTTTCAACATTGTTTTCGTGTAGTAAGTGGTTGTTTTAAGTGTCGCCCGATGTGGCCTCACAATATGGCGCCACCCTCTTGTTTACGTCCCAGAATGCACTGCGCAGTGACGTCGGCTGCCAAGCCCAATTGAAACGCGGGTCTCAGGTGCATGCCCAGGTGCATTAAGGTCAGGTGCATTAAACACATTAAAGAACACTTAATTTTAACATTTTGCTCTCCTTTCAGAAGTCAGTCAGAAGCAAAGCATGCTGGGAACTAGAAATCTGCAACTCATTCCGTGAATGTGTGTGTATATACATATATATGTGTGTGTACATTCACATTTATATGGGTACATGTATGTGCAATATTTGCACACAATAAAGGATAAAACTAGCTATTTTTGTCTTGATTTATAAGTATTTTATATTCATTAATATATAGCCAGACGTCTTCAACGCATATATTGAAAAATATGACCACTAGTATGAAAATGTATTATGTAATATATTGCATTTTATTTTGCAGTATATTCCCATATATTATTGTTTCGTAAGGGTGCACACATATTCTTGTTGCGTTCATGCACTCTCAAGTGGCCAAGACTGCAAGGGTGGGTATATTGCTACTGTCCCATACTTATTTTGTTCCTGAATGAATCAGTGTGTTTGAACAAATAAGTCGAGTGAGTGATTCAACAACTCACTAATAAGACTTGTTGCCATCCACTGGAGTAACCATGTAACATGCAGAAAGAGTAATTGGAAAATTCCCATGCACAGATTGACAGTGAAAATTCCTAGTGCTACTGGGCTGTGCATCAGCACTCTTGACGCTGTTCAGCCAATCAAATGCGTTTTACGTTCCTTTCGATGCCTATTGAAATAGACCCTTTGACAAATAATGTCACGACATTAAGTATTAAGTATGTCAAGTGTTTAATAAATGGTGTTTTCTCAGGAAACAGTGAAGTGCTGAGAGGAATAAATACTGTTGCCAACAGGTTGCAGTGTTGATCTCATCGTGGTCTCCAAACAGTTTGGCAAAAAATCCATGCCTAAATGGAGAAGTTAGCATATTAAATGATTTATTTTCTGTAAGATCAAAGTTAGATATTGACGTTCATAAGGTCAGATCACTCCAAGCATTAGGAAATGGCTTCTTAATTCTACAGCTTGACAGATATGCTAAATTAACTGTAATGACACTGAGAGATTCAATAAACATCCTTGGATGAACTAAGTGCCATAAGTGTGTAGAAGTGGCGGCGGGTGCTTAATTGTGCACGGAAGCTTGCGAATAATGTGCAGAACAAGCCAACCGAGGCTTCATTTTCTTTGTTGCATTACTGATGAGTACTTGATATTAAAGCTTTTTACATTTTTCATGACTGGTTTGTTCCATATTTATGAGCAATGTTTTAGTGTTACATTTTCACAAAAAGCAAAGAGTGTAATAAGAATAAATAGCCCATGACCATAATAAATAAACATAAACTCAGTATATCTGGTAGAAAGAAAGTCTTTCTGGGCTGATTTGAAATGATTACCAAAGTGCTTCTCCAAGGGATGAAACATAATTTATGAGGTTTAGAAAGTCTGCCTTGAATAAGATGGCGTATATTTTTAAAGAAAGCCTCTAAAAGCTACGGCAATTTTGAAATGATTAGTTTTGACCTTTTTCTTAGTTTAGATGTTGTTGTAATAACTTCAGAATAGTTTTTTTATGGTACGTGCGTCAACGCTTCCCTCACTCCTTTGGCTTCAAGTTGTTTTTCAATGGAAGACATTATATTTTAATTTTCACTTAATGCTGCTGCTCTCTCATTGAGCCTCCAGGGGAAATACAGTTTGATCTGGTATGAATAATCTCCCAAAGGCTGGTTCAAGGTTGCTCAGCCTACTGCTAAACGCACTGGGGTCATTTATCTCCTGATTTATTTGCATATATTAAAACATTATTCTGGCCCAAAAGGAATACCAATGCATGTTTTATTGAAATTCACCGTCAACATCAAATCCAAAACTTCCGACATAACACTTGTTGTGTAGCTACAGTACATTCTATGTAATAAATGAACTGGAGACAGATAAGAAATATTCCAGGTTCTGTACAAGTTAAGCTCAATCGACAGCATTTGTGCCATAATGTTGATTATAACACAACATTTTTTGCGTATCTCTTTTTTTTCTTTGAGAAAAAGCTAAAAGAAGATTATTGTGAGTCCAATAGAAATAAAAAGGGCTGTTTTTTTAAAGGATTTAAAAGCATAAATGTGAAGCCTATAATACTTATTCTGTTAAAACGTGTGTGTTATTTGAGATGTAAAGTTGTTTTCATCCTTTTTATGGTCGTTGTTGTAGATGTAATGCATTTTACAGCATTGTAAAAATGTAAATATATTTTGCACAGAAAAAGTTAGTAAACATTTCTTTCATACTAAAATCATATTAACTTTCATATTGTTTCTTATGTATTTTAAAGGGGTCATGCATGAGAAATCTAATTTGCCATGATCTTTTGACTTAAGAGGTCTTTGAACCATTAAACATCCTGTAAGTTTCATAGCTTAAAACGTCCTCCTCATTATAAACAAAGCATGTATTTAATCAAGCTCCAAAAATGTCTCGTTTTGAAATTTGGGGATTTGTGACGTTGCAGTGGCAAATTAATTTGCATATGTCTGCCTCCAGAGCAAGACATCGACGAATAGTTATTCATCATCTCACCTTAGCCACGGCCCACTGCCGTTCAGTGGTTTGCGTCACGTTTCATCAAAGCAACTCATCATAATCACTGATGTTGTCTATCGGCTCGCTTTCGGGTTAAACTTTCCGCCACTGCGCAACTGGGTTATAGGTTGCCAGGTTGAGGTGACAAACGGGTTGAAATTGTAAATGGTCTGTGGATTGTGTGAATATAATGCATTTAATACAATCTGGCAACTGGTCAACATTAGACAAACATATTGGTCCGATTATTCATAAAGGAGTTTGGGCCATGCAAATTACGGGAGTTTCCCGGGAGAAATAACAAACCGGGAGGGGTCCGGGAGATAGGGCTAAAAAACGGGAGAAACCCGGGAAAAACGGGAGTGTTGACAGGTATGGATGTTGTGTACACTGGATACAGTATACAGATACATGTTCAGTTTCTGACACTCATACATGAGTCTGCCGCCAACAGGACAAATGGAAGAGTGAACGAATGTTCGCTTTTACGCGTCCAGTTTAAAAAGCTCGTTTGCGTCTTTGTACAGACTTCAGAAGGATCTCAGCGTCGGAAAACAAGTGGATGATTTATTTGAATGGCGTCCCGGATCGCGTCGGAGGATTATATGTTCAGAGCATTTTGTTTTGTTTAAGAGGCACAGTTAATTGAAGAGTTCGCAAAGAAACTGTTATTGAAAGATGAAGCAGCCAACTGTATTGGATCTGACAGAGGCTGCACCATGTAAGTAAATTATTTCATAATGCTTTGTCTGTAAATTATGGTTTTATATGGATAATGTTTTCAAAACACTTACTCACTTGCAATAGCGGGGGGCGTTGATAATGTTTCTATACAATGGTGTTAGCCAATCAAAACAGTGGCCATTTATTTACTGACAAGCCTTAAAGGAGCCGTCCCTTAAAAACGGATAATTTCAGACAGTGGGGCAGAATGAAGGTTGACAATAATTGTTTTCCCATACGCAAGCACACACACACACACACACACATACATATATACTGTATTTTGTGTGTGTGTGTTTGCAAAAAACTTTATTAACATTATAAGTGGACCTCAGGGAACATACATGTCTGACACTTTTAACATTTTACACCCCCATTATTGGTAAACGGCTACTTTAACCCAGATTTTCATGTTTTTTAAGAAAAGGAGACAGTTCAAAATGTACTTTTGCAGTAATCATACCATCAATGCTGTCAGTTGAGCTTAACTTGTTCTGAATCCGGAATACTACTTTAATGCAGCACAAGAATCATTCATAGTAAACTGTTGGAACAGCCTGTTTTTAGTATTTTAGTAATGTGGTTGTTGATATAAAACTCGACAATCAAATAATTTCAAGACTTACTAAAACGGCAAAGAATATTAGAGGTAAACGCAAGTACATACCGTATTTAACACAAGCATATTTTTTTAAAGAGCTTGTTAAGCGAAGCTGAGGAGCATAATCAAAGAGTCCTCTTAAAAGCTTCAAGCACAGTAGGAAATCACAGCTTTGCTCACATAAAGACACGGGGCTCTTCAGATATTAAAGACATTAAATAATTGGTAACAAATTTTCACAGGAGAATAGTCGTCATCACAGCATTAAATTGAAACATGCTCAGAGGGTAACACTTCAATAGGAAACAAACAGACGATGCTGCTAAAAAAAGAGAGGAGGTTGCAAATAAGACATTGTTTAGCATTGGCACCAACATAACCAAGCAAAACACAAAGATGCATTTGTAGGAGAACCAAATTGAATATACGATTTCATTTTGCACAGCGATTTGAATCTTAACTGCCATCTCTACTGTGCTCATTCAGTGCAAAACCGTTGTGATGTCGATCAAAGCTGCTGAAATCCTCCGGCTCCGTTTGAGTTTTTTAATAAGGCTTCTGTAAGGCATCATTAGCCGTACGCTTTATTTTCATGGCTGATTCTGGAAGGGTAACGTTATAGTCATAGTGGCGTCCTGCGGCTCTGCGAGTGGGCGGTTGACCATTTCGCTCTCGTTCTGTCTGGCGTTCTCTTCATTCATTTGAGACACTTCAGTGGATCCCGCTTCGAAGCCTGGGACAGTGTTGGCCACATGGACCACGTGCACCTTATTTCGTCCCTTTTTGCTGAGGATGCAGCTGAAGACCTTCTTGAAGCCCTTGCGAAAGTGTTTGGACACCAGGGCGTAAACGATAGGGTTGAGGCAGGAGTTGGCGTAGGCCATGCAGTGGGACAGCAGCCTGAAGGCATACGTGGTCTGATTGAAGGGAAAGTCTCCGTAGAGGTAGCACAAAATGACCACATGGTACGGTAGCCAGCAGATGCAAAAGAGCACTGTGACTATGATGATCATCTTGGTGACCTTGCGCTTGGCTCGTTTCGACTCCGACATCCCATCGAGGGGGTCGACTGCTGTCCAGAGGTACTTGATGGTGCGTGTGTAGGAAAGGCTCACGATGAGCACAGGAATAACATAGCCGAAAACGAAGGTGCAGGTGTCCAGAACCTTACGGTTATGCTCCTCCCACCCAGGTACGCACACATTGCTGTTCTCGAAATCGATGAGGTCGTAGTAACTCAAATAAGGCCCGGCGAAAACAAGCGACAGGCCCCAGATGACCACCATCGCGACTACGGCGTTACACGGCGTTCTCAGTTCTCTGGAGCGCAAGGGGTAACGGATGGCAAGATACCTGCAAAAGAAGAAATGTACCAATCACATAAGACATTGATGGCTTCTTTACATCGTAAACACCAGCTATGAGAGACATCCACTCTTGCATTGCATGTTTGTGTGTTTTGGGGGCGGAGAAATGATATTTGGGTTGATTTCAGGCATCAACAGTGTTTCTCAGAAATCGCTTACTACACCTTTAAATCAACAAACAGCATAGTCTCTACTCTCTACTCTTTCAAAACTGAAACATAACAGAAACCCTTCTAACACTAAGGGTGTATTCACACCTGCCTTGTTTGGTTCGATTGAATCGAACTCTAGTTCGTTTCCCCCCTTGGTGCGGACTGCGGACCTTTTGGGCAGGTGTGAATACAGCAATCGAACTCGGGTGCGGACCAAACAACCGAACCGAGACCCAGCTGAAGAGGTGGTCTCGGTACGGTTCCAAACGAACTCTGGTACGGTTCGTTTACGGTGTGAACATGAACCGACCCAATTGCAAGAAAGCACTGCGCCTTTGAGTTAACAGGCTTCCGTAGTCGGAGTTGCGTTATGGGAAAGTGATCTGTTGTAGCCTAGCCTACTACATTACATCTGTTGCGCGTCTTTCTGCGCGTCGTGTGTGCATCATTGGAATGGAATGGATGAATGAGTGTGTGCATCAGGACATTCACATACAGAGCGTTCTCTTTAGTCTAATCGCGCATAGATGCAAAAAAAAAAAAGCATTTGCAGTTCATATAATGTAACGATAGTTACAATTCAAGGATGATGCTGCGTTAATTTACGTTAAGCCTTTTTTGCACTTCCTGATTTCCCTACTTGAGAATCCTTGTCCAATGAATGGACGACCTTAGCACACGTGTGGTTTTGTTTACAAATTTTGTTTCACTTGCAAAAAGAGCAGTGTGAAAGTGAACCGTACCAAAAAAAAGTATTTGGTCCGGACCAAAGCAAGTGAACTATCGGACTTTCCTGATGTGAATACACCCTAACACATATTCTCTTTTATTAATTCCTATTTTGATCCTGTGCAAAAACACACCAAATAACACTTAATTTCAACATTTATTCTCCTTAAATATAATCAGTTTTTTTCACTTTAAGTGCAATTAACTATATTTGAGTTAAATGAACTCATTTCATTTGCAGTTATTTCACTTTTTAATTTCACAGTTTTACAGTGTAGTCATGTATAAAAGAAGCACAGGAAATGTTCATCAAAAGATGAGTGGTGCTTCCTGAAATTGAGTTTGACCAAAAACACACGATCAATATAATCAGTGTGTTTCTGTGCACAAGATGAATGGGTCTTCCAGTTTTCTACCTGAAGGTGAGGTAATTTCCGATGGGTATTCTCAGTCTCCTCTGAGCCCAGAGCAGGTTAACACGCTTTTCCAAAGGTAAACACTTTCAGGGTGGATGGAGGGCAGTGGGTCTGTTGCTCAGGCTGCAAGTAACATATTACTCTACGGCATATAGGTGGCCATGTTACATTATTTTGACAAAAAAAAAGGCTTCCTGGCTCTCCCATTCAGCCAATCCCACTCATCACTGGTGCTTTAGTTCGACCTTAATGTTAAAATAGGCCTAACATACTTTTAGCAAAGTCATTATGGGTGGGTGCTTCTAAAGGTTCTTTTTTCACTGTTTCATTGTAAAGACAGGAATAATGCGATGCTGGTTTTTGGAGGTGTTTTGTTAATGAAGTGGGTGGTTGCTGATAACTAAATTCCTATAGTGTTCAGAAGATCCATTTTATTAAATAACAACCCCGGCCCTGTCCAATTACAATATTGCTAGGTTCTCATTTAGGCTGTCATTTTATACCCCATGGGGCTACATTAAAAATGTTATGTCATGGTATACAGCTGCAAAGTTATTATGCCTAGAGTGAACTTCACTTGACAGTATTATAATGTACAATCATCAGGGTGGCCTTTAACTTTTATTTCCCAGAGGTTGATGACTGGTGAGCAGGACGGCCGAGGGACGTGAGAGAACGTCGCGAGGCCAGTGGTGCGATTGCTAATTAGCAGCACCTGTGAAGCACACCGGTCTCGCATCTCTCACGGAGGAGCGGAAGCATAAAGGAGGAGCGACGGAGTGGATGATCGAGAGAGGAACAGGCCTGCTTTTGTTTGTGTTTTGTTTTATTTTATTTTGGTAGCCAGCAGTCGTCTGTGAGGGGCTGCTGGCAGGTAGTTATATTTTATTTTGGGTAGCCAGCAGTTCCGTGAGGGACTGCTGGCACGTATTGTGTTTATTTCATTTAAAATAAAGTTTTATTTTGATTGTCCACCGGTTCCCGCCTCCTTCTTCCCTGAACATTGCTACACTGGTGCCGAAACCCGGGAAGAGGGAGGAACGCGCTGTCCGAGGGTCCTCGCCGTTGTGGTGAATCCGCGGTGCCATCAAGCATGGTGCGCGAGTCGCCGCCGCTCGCCGTGGGCCGGAGATTGCTGCCGAGGGGAGGAGCAGGGAGCGGGGGACTCGCGGCCATGGACGCTCGAGGCGGGGCGCTGGGGTGAGTTGGCGGTGGGACGCCCGAGCTCGCCGCCGACCGCCTGGGAATGGAGGGGCGGCTGCCTTCCAGGAGGGAGAGGAGGAGTCACCGCCGCTTGCCGTGGGCCGGAGCCTGCTGCCATCCGCCAGTGAAGGGGAGGAGCAGGTAGCGGGGGACTCCTGCCGTCTGCCCAAGGCACCCGAGGAGCCGTCGCCGTCCACCGGGGGCGGGGCAGCGTCGAGGCGTCCAACAAGGGCCATCCAGCGTCGCCGCCGGGCACCGCGGAGGAGATCGCCCAGCTGGTGAGGGACAAGATGGCAGCGCGTTGTGGGAGCCGGACCAATTTTTATTTTATTTTTCTCTCCCCTCTCTCGTGTCCGTCGCTCCTCGTGCTTCCGTCTCCGTTTCCCTCGGCTCGTCGGTCCATATCCCCCAGGGATCGCCGCCGGGGGGAGGGAGTAGGCACAGCCCGGGTGTACCCCCCGGCCTGTGAGGGGTGATGGGGGTATGTGGTGAGCAGGACGGCCGAGGGACGTGAGAGAACGTTGCGAGGCCAGTGGTGCGATTGCTAATGAGCAGCACCTGGGAAGCACACCGGTCTCGCATCTCTCACGGAGGAGCGGAAGCATAAAGGAGGAGCGACGGAGTGCATGATCGAGAGAGGAACAGGCCTGCTTTTGTTTGTGTTTTGTTTTATTTTATTTTGGTAGCCAGCAGTTCCGTGAGGGACTGCTGGCACGTATTGTGTTTATTTCATTTAAAATAAAGTTTTATTTTGATTGTCCGCCGGTTCCCGCCTCCTTCTTCCCTGAACATTGCTACAATGACGTTTATTAAAACTAATAGATTCCAATTCTCTTCTGATTGCTATACCCTAGTGAAAAAAACCTATACAAAAATGTTTTTAAAATAAATTTAAGTATACTACAAAACATATTTACTGACATATCGCTTGAGACTTACTGATATAAATACTATAATTAAACTTTATTTGGAGTACTTCTTCATTAACCAATGCACATTTCTTAATATTAAGCCTGTGTGTTTTAATATCACTATTATTAAGGATAGTATGATCTCTGTATAATTTCAGTCTTTAAATGCAAGATATTTAAAGTGTACCTAAAGTGTACTTGCAATAGTTCGACTTTAGAACAATCAAATACACTTAAGTATATATCTTTAGTTGGACTTCAGCACTATTTCTGCACAACTAAAGTGCATTAAGTACAAAATTAGTTATGTATAAATGTATTCGTAGTATACTTAGCATAAAATAAGTGTATTTCAAATACTATTTTTAGTATATTCATTTTTCACTAGGGTATGAATATCACATTAAACGGTTTTACCATGTCTTTATTTCATCATACTTGATCTGGGGCAAGGGTAAAACAAAATCTTTGCATAAAAGGCATTTAAAAAGTAGCACATGACCTTTCATTTTTATACTATGACAATAAACATGTTCAAAAAGATCAAATGTTATGAATAAAAATAGCCTTTTCAAGACAAAGAAGTTGTCTGTTTTCTTCCAAAAATGTAAAAAAAAATAAAAAAATTCCACCACCATTATTTCCATCACAGAATGCCATTAAACACAAGTACACAACACATAATTTGAGATGTAGTGGAAATGACACTGATGGGAATTTCATTAATTGGAGAAAAAAGGAAACAAGGACAATATGCATATACACTGTTGGAACTGATATTGGCCAAATTAAATAAACCAGCGAGAGTGTGAAAAATGTTTCAAGAGAGTTTATTTAATAATAAAAAAGCATAATTGGAAAAACAAAACACCCACCTGTCCACAGACACTGCCGCCAAAGTGAAACTGCTAGCATACATGGTGAGGTTGATGAAGAAATGAACCACCTTGCACATGAAGGACCCGAAAACCCAACCCTCCAGAGAGTAGATGGTTGCTTGGAAAGGCACACAGAAGATGATGAAGAAGAAATCGGCTACGCTGAGGTTGAGGATGAACAGATTGGTGGTGTTGTACCCAACCTGTCCACTTCTGAGGAGCACAGCCAGTACCAGACTGTTCCCAATGGTCCCTAAGAGGAAGATGAGCGAGAAGACCACAGACACAATGACACTGGCTGGGTTGAGCTGGTAGCTCTCGGAGGCGTTCCAGTGTCCCATGGATTTAGTCAGGTCCTCGTGATCTGACATTTTAAGATGTGAAGTTCCAGAGCCCTGCAAAGAGGTCGTAAATGATAAGACACAGAGTTAGATTCTAGGGACTTTCCTCTCACTAATTTTTTGGGGGGATTTGAGGAATAAGCCCATGGTTGCAAATCTCACAAATCTTTCCGAATCTGAATCACATTGTGGTGAGATTTAAAAGCCCTTATGAGAAGTTTTATAGACCGTCACTGAAAGCAAATATCAGGAGGATCAGACTCAAGAAGTCATTTTGATGAACATGAAATAAGTACATTTTGATTACAAAAGATCATGAAAGCTGGTACAAGTACAAAGAGGAACGAAGAATGAAATGGAGGCTAGACTAAAATCAATTTCAGAAAGCTATCATAACCACTCCAATGGCAACAAACCAGTCTTGTCAAGATATGAAGAGCATGTCCCCATCTGGTTGAGAGCTAATCAAAATGAAAATGGACAAATTCACTCTCTAATCATCCGAGATCTTAGTGGGAATTTGTTTGGGGATAAAAATATAGATGCGTCAATAATGGCATGATATTGTGGACTGAATAGAGTGCAATACAATGGATTATGGAAGGATCACATTAGTATGTTGTTGTTGGTTATAGATCTGACAAAAGAGAAGGAATGCAATTGCCTACCAGCGGTTAATCCCACAGTATGTCCCAATTCAATAGGTGTTGCTCAGAAACAGTCAGCATCGGTTTCTCCACTTCAAATATTGATCAGGCTTTGGGAATAAAAAAGACATAACTTTTTATCTTTCCCAAACACACAGAGTGAATTATACATAGGGAATGGAAACATCTTCACAATAAATAATCTTTATAGCATGTTTTGATTTGATCGATTTAATTTCAACTGAGATAAATTCAGTTTTGAACTAGTTGGTCTCTGTGATCTGGTTACATGTGATCTTCACTGTAAAAAAAGTTGCTGCCTCAAACATCCAAGTTGATAGTTAAAAATGTAAGTAATTTAAATGTAAATTACATTAAACTGACTTAAATGAGTTGAATCTGGTATAACGTATAAAAAAAGTTGAAAATTGCTTAACTTATTTTGATGAGTTAAAGCAATGTATAAACATATGTTGTCATAACTTATAGATCATAGAATTTGAGACTTGAGATTTTTTATTGTTTAATTGGGACTTCAGATGCATTCATTTGAGAAGTAAAATTGTGTGAGATAAGACTTAAGTTTTCATATCTTGAATTCATTGCATCTAAATGTAGCATTTTGATAGATTTATGCTATAAACCAGGAAAAAATGGCAAAAATTGAGTGAAATAATAATAATAATTAATTATTATTTCTTCAAAATAATTTTGCTTCTCAATTAAGTTAATAATAGTGCTGGAATATATTTATTTTAAAAAAATATTACAATTGAATTTAATACAAAACATAATGCAATAGAATGCAATAGGTGAATTCTAGAAAAGTAATGCAACCTGAAGAGCATCATTAGTATTGCAAAGAGCATCATTAATGTGGGGAAAGCAAGGGATTTCAGGAAATTGGTCTACGCAAATGTAGAGCTGTTCTCCCTAATAGGCTGACAAAGTGTGACATAACCAGCTGACAATAAAAAAAAGTATGCAGAATATAGGTGACTAATCTACTCCATGCAGAAATATGGACATGTTCTATTTGGCTATAATTGGTTGTCAGACATTCATCATGGTACAATTAAAATGCTGATCTTCAGTCCACTCTTCAAAAACAATTTCATTACATCTACTGTTTTGTTTGATTAAACAATGCAAGCCGTAAGATCACATGATCTTTTTTTCTCAAGCAGGAACAGAGCGTGACTCATTTAGCAAGACCTTTATAGTAGTAAATTGGAGGAAATGAACAGGAAGCCATTTACTCTGAGAGGTGAAGCTTTCCTGGATACATTTATCATAATGCAATGCCCTTATCCATAATTGAGAGTAAATATGAAGTTAAAAAAAGGATGGAAGGAGAGGAAAAAAAAAAAGAAAAAAAAAAAAAGAAAGCCATTTCAAAAGACATTTGATTTCTTAAAAATAAAATAGTGGTTTGTTGATGTGTATTGACTTTGTGAAGTGATCTCAAAAGCAATCTTTTATTTTTCAAAAGCAGATTTTAAGAGCCTCTCTCTCTTTTTCATCTCACTCTCTCAACATAGAAGTGTTTTCAGAAATGACTTAAAAATTGCCAATGCAATAAAAAAAAAAAAAAAAAACGCCTCTTAACCAGATCAGCTCTGAGGATCTGTGTGTTAAGCCAAAGCCTTGTTGATCAGAAGGTGCAGGTAAGGTTGTTTAAGGATTCATACCACACAAGTTTGTTGTTTGGCTTTTGGCATCTCTGTCTTTGGCATCTTTTCTTTGGAACAATCCCTTTGTAAACGCACCTGACTGTCTTTAATGTGAAGCCAGCTGCCAATGAATATAACATGAAGTGTCCTTCAAGAAGGAGGTCTGTTAAACTGAACCCTTTTGGTTGCAGTCACGGAGTGCATCCGTTTTTGTCACTTGTCGAATGGTGCGCGGATCTGCCTCACACACCACCGCATGTGTCTCTAACCCCCCTTTCAAACCCAATTGGCATTTAAAATGAATTGAGTCAAACTTTCATGAACCCATGAGCCAAATAAAAGCATCTCAGTACATGAACTGCATGTGGATTGAGATTTCAAAAGAGACTTATTAAAGAATATAACTTAAAAATGTTGTAAATGAAGCATGCGAGATGCAGTGTGTGTAAATATACTAAATGCAAATTGACTATACGTACACGTTGCATAAAGAAACATCGTAACCCAGACGCATTAGAAATCATATGCATTATATAAATGCATCTTGTAGCGTGAAGGTATATTCAGATGAATGGAGATAAGTCATGTAAAACCAAAGCCCATGCTGTCCAAGGTCATCATTGAAATATACATACACTAAACATCATTCTTGAGGTGTCTTAGGAAATTTCACTTTGTTCTAACTGTAAATGCCAGAGAGTCCACACCTGATATGAGAATTTCATTCAGTTGTTTTTACTTACCGGCTCATGAGATGAACCATGACTGTATATCCATGACTCGGTGTCATTGTAATATTGAGAAGCTTCTGGTCTCCAGAAAAGCTAGTGTTGCTTGCAGCATGTAACCACTTGAACAGGCTTCATCTCCTCTCATTCCGCTTCTCCGCTTCTCTGTGCCTCTCGTGTTCCCTCCCTCACTCCCCCACACATATGGAAGCTCCTCCTCCACATTGTGGTAAAGCCTCACACTTCACTGCAAGAGAGAGAGAGAAAACATTCAGTGTTTCTTTGCACATTCCCACGGAAATCTTTTTATGTGCGTTACTAATGCTGTGCCTGAACAGTTGCACCAATGCGGCTAAGACACGTACACGCACAAATCTAGAATATGTGCATGGTAAATTATTCAGGAGGCCTGAAATCAGAGGGTTTTTACTTTTTGCATCACTTTTGGCCCACGGGCAATTTTTCTTTTTTGAGGCATTATTTAGAAATCACATTTCCCGAGAGATTGGAATTCAATTGCATTCCGTTTGCAGTTTTTCCCAATTGGAAGGGATGCACACTATGATCAAATCAATACACCTCCAAGGCTTCATTGCTCATGGCAATATGACAGAAGGATGACATGTCTGCAACTTGTCTCAAATCAAAATTCAAAAGTGATTGACTCACTAGTGACATCCCTTCTGAAAAATCCAGCATAAATCAGCATTAATTCAATGTTGGTTAATGCTGGTATAGCTGTCCACCATCACTCCTGCTTCCCATGCTGGAGACCAGCAAACCAGCAACCAGGAACCCATGCTGATCCCAGCATGCAAAACATACCTTTACCTTATGCTGGTGACCAGCAATGCAGGAGTTTTCAGCAGGGTATATTTACAAAAGACAAAGCATCAACAGGAAAAGGTGAAAAGGCTGAGGAAGATAAAGACAAAGGGTGAATGTGATTTCACCAAGTAGAAAATGTTCCTGGATCAACATCTTTGTAGATCGAAGAACAACATTCCAATCAACCAATCAGATTTGAGGGTTATGTTTACAGTTAATGTCAAGTTTAGGCTTACAACAGGTTTTAGGGGCTTCTAGGGATAAGTTATAGGTAGGGTTAGATGATGATCCAGGGGCATGTCTTACTTGGCAAAATCACAGCAACCAAGAAAAAGAGGAATATTATTTCCACTGTGTTTGCTCCTGGTCTTTGTCTGCAAAGGAGTCATTCAGGTCAAAACTTTGTCATTCAGCACAGGCAGCACTGCCTTTGAAATTCATCAATGAATGATGCACAGCCCAGACCACACAACCTGTGCGGTTACGTATGTGAGACTATTTACAAAAGTGCACGTACAAGAATGGTTCTTTCCCTCCAAGATTATGTTACTATACCACCATATTTCATTAGTACAGTTACTCAATCCACATGGACTAATGACAGTCTGGCACTCTAGGGTTTCCCCGCTGATGTTCAAGGAGCTAAAATCAGATTAAATCATGTTGCCACATCCACATCCAGTTCTTTTGTTGTGCAACGGCCACAGTACTTGACAATGACACATGATGCATTTTCTGTCTGTATATACAGACAACTTTTGCTTGTGAGAAGTATTTGAAACGTTTCTTTCATAATTGAAATACTAATGGTAATTCGTAATGGTAGCAAAACACTAATGGTGGTGTATATTTATACATACCAAAATAAAAATACAACAGAATATATCTAAAGAAATGGAAAATAACATTGAATCAAAAAGTTGCTCATATGATGCTGTAATAAAAATTGTGTCACCTATAGTTTTCATTGTCACCTATATTTAGAACTAACCTTAGATTGTGTTTTATACACGTGTCATTCTCCACATATTAAACATTCACTTAACACTTCAGGAAAGACCTCGAAGCAATCCCAATAATGTGTGAAACAGGACCTGTGATTCCCTCCCTCAGCTATTCAACTATCGTGCTTGTTAAATGTGTAATACAACAGGTACAGAGTTCACATTACCAACAGAGAGGCTTAAATTAAACAGTCAATCATTGCTAACAATAATTCAGTGTGCTGTCTGTTTTTTTTATTTATTTATGTATGCTGTATTTCTTTAGGGTAAAGGTGCCCTCATTGTTATTTCCAATTCTTTACTTGGGGGTTTTGAATTGCTGTGATGAAAAGTCTGGAAACGGGCTGAGTTGGTCACTGGGGACCACTGCCACTTTGATGAAGACAATGGGAATGGATCCCTCCAGCGATCTGTAATAGCAGACGGGACTTGAATACAAAGAGCATCATTACAGTTAGGACCTCAAACTGATCACGCTGTTGTTGTGCAGTGCAAGATTCAGTAGTATGCCTGATCATTTCATGATGTCTGTCTTTTTCTTATTTTCATCTAGGCTATTGATTTCAGAATGCTTATTCTTTGAGTAAAGGGCAGGACGCATCAAATTTTTATGTTATCTCTCGTCTGTTTTATATATGTGTTATTTATTATGGGGAATTTGTAATACAAGTTTCTCGCTGCCACTGAAATGAAGCGCAGGAGGCTAGTCCGTTTGTGGAAATGAACTGAAACATTGAAATCATCTGTTCTTATGTGACCAGTGTGTCACAACAGGAAGCTATCACTGCATAATTGTATGGCCCATTTGCGCATATAAATTGCGAGCTGCTAAAGATGTCACTTCAGCCATTTAGCCTCTTCATCATGGTTGTAAATTAAAGGGCACTTAGTTGCCACTAAAATGAATGAAAATCCTTCCAAAATTCAAGATAAGGGCTGTTTTCACAAATATCTATTAAAATATAATAGATATAACACAAATATCAGCACTATTGCAAATGTGATCTTGATTTTATACAACAGTAAAAAAAAAAAAAATATATATATATATATATATACACACAAGACTGTACTTCTATTTCAGCAACGAAAATGACTCGAATGAGAGAACAATTCAATGACTCATTTAAAGGGTTAGTTCACCCAAAAATGAAAATTAAGTCATTAATTACTCACCCCCATGCTGTACCAACCCCGTAAGACCTTCGTTCATCTTCGGAACACAAATGAAGATATTTTTGATTAAATCTGAGAGCTGGATCACTGCTACATAGGCTTCCTAAGGGAATGACACTTGACGGCCCAGAAAGTCATTAAAGAAAATGTTTAAATGTTTCATGTGCCTACAGTGGCTCCACTATAAGTTTATCAAGCGACGAGAATACTTTTTGTGCGGAAAAAAACTAAAATAACGACTTTATTCGACTATTCCATTGCTTCCTTGTGGGCCTGAGACGAGAGTTCAAGAGATTTCCAGGACGCATGCGCGAGAAGTGACACTCTTCTTCTACTACTATGTACAGCACGCGTCTTCCTCTGCTTGTAAGACGCGCGCTGTGTAGTAGAAGAAGAGTGTCTCGCGCATGCGTCCTGGAAATCTCTTGAACTCTCGTCTCAGGCCCACAAGGAAGCAATGGAATAGTCGAATAAAGTCGTTTTTTTTCCGCACAAAAAGTATTCTCGTCGCTTGATAAACTTATAGTGGAGCCACTGTAGGCACATGAAACATTTAAACATTTTCTTTAATGACTTTCTGGGCCGTCAAGTGTCAGTCCCTTAGGCAGCCTATGTAGCAGTGATCCAGCTCTCAGATTTAATCAAAAATATCTTCATTTGTGTTCCGAAGATGAACGAAGGTCTTACGGGGTTGGTACAGCATGGGGGTGAGTAATTAATGACTTAATTTTCATTTTTGGGTGAACTAACCCTTTAAGACAGAAGACTTTGTTCCTGAAAGAATCAGCTGTTGTGAAAGAATCGATTGAATGAATGATTTAATGACTGTGTTTGAATATGCCTGCTATATAGTACATACGACACAGTATGTGAGATGTGTAGTATGTCCAAATTCAAAATATTCATAAAAAAGTAGTACAGAAAATGACCTACTTCCACCAGTATAATTTAAAGTGGGCAATCGATGGACACTTCACTATCCCATGAGTACATGGGGGAGGATTTGTGAATGGCAGTGAAGCAATGCAACTGACAATTTACATTTCATTCATACTACACACATTCATACTATATAGAACATAAATTTCTTTTTTTATGTCACATGGATTCATGCCTCCTTTGAGCAGCATTAAACAGTGTGTGTAAATGCATCTAAATGCCACTTCAGATACAAATTCTGTGCCACTTCTGCTGTGCAAAAATGGCTTTTGTTGATCCTGATTTCATTTGATAGATAACAGCCCTATATAAAGTTCTGTCATGAAATTCTAAATGCTAAAAGTATGTTTATTAACAATAAACAGAGTGGTCAGAGAGTCCAAAGCACGACACACAGTTACGGGAGAGTGACGCAGGGACCTCGACGAGCAACCGGGCTGGTGATGAGTGATGATCCGAATCCAGGCGAGTGATGAAGAAGAACAGAGACGAAGACACGATGAATAATCCAACTGGAGTGCAGGTCACAGGAAAACAGCCAAATAGGTGAGGAATAGGAATAGGAATCAGCTGGCACTGCTGATTAGCGATCCTCAGAGGACACACCCACACTAATTAACACACAACACAACAATCACACGAGACAAGGAAAAGGCAGAGAATTCATGAACCGTGGCAGCAACACGTTTTCAGAAACTCTCCCCTTTCCTGAGCTCCACCTGTAGGCCTAAAGATCTGCTACGGGTAATTCATGTACACTATATTGTACAGTAGCAGCATGTCTTACTTGCTCACAGCAGCGTGTAATGTATTTATTGGCAGTAGCAAGTCCCGAACGTACTTGCTCTGCAATAACCAACAACAGCACCAGCCTATTCCAAGACCAAACATATCAACATTGTCCCATTACTCCAAGAGTTGTCATGATAGAAATTGTATTATTCCAATTGAATTTAATTTATTAAATTGAAGAATTTAACATAAAAGATGATCCAAATAAAAAAAACTTAGAAAAAAATGTCTGTTTAGAGGTAAAAAATGCCCCTGTAAATCAATTTAAGGTGGCTGGTCTCCATGACTGGTACAACAACACATCGTCTCTGGATTATTAACACACTCCACTATGGTTAGGCCTATCTGTTGCCCTCTACATATCAGACTGCAGCCTAAGAGTTTTCAAAAGCTCCGAGGTGTAAGTCAAGTGGCGGCAGGGCTGGACTGGGACAAAAAATCG